TTGGTCACTTCCTCCAACATCAACTCTATTTCCAGAACGTGTCCCCGTCTCGTTACACTCTCTTGTCATAACAGTCACTCGCTCCTCATGGCTCAACGCCGCTTCCTTCAACTTCGGGGAGCGCGCACCCTACACATCACATAATGGCCACTCACGTCAGGAGTACGTGGGCCTCATCCCCGGTGATAACGGATAGGCGCACCACCCGAGGCTGAAGGGTGCACTCTAGACGTCACATGACCACTCACGTCAGGAGTACGTGGGCCTCATCCCCACTGATAACGGATAGGCGCACCACCCGAGGCTGAAGGGTGCACTCTAGACGTCACATGACCGCTCACGTCAGGAGTACGTGGGCCTCATCCCCACTGATAATGGATAGGCGCACCACCCGAGGCGGAAGGGTGCACGCTAGATGTCAAATAATGGTCACATGACCACTCATGTCAGGAGTACGTGGGCTCTTATCCCCGGTGATAATGATCGGGCGCACCACCCAAGGCTGGAGCGTGCACTCTAGATGTCAAATAATGGTCACATGACCGCTCATGTCAGGAGTACATGGGCCCTTATCCCCAGCTAGAACACCACATGGGTTTCCTGTTCCAGGCGGAAGCAATGCGCTCTGTAGATGTCCCATGACCACCCTCATGTATAATGATCATGATAAGAACACGCACATGGGCACGCCATCCCGGGGTGTGAAGCCTGCATGCAAGGGTGACTACGGCGGGGCTTCACGGGACCCTTCAAAAGCAGGTGGAAACAAAGAAAAGAGAATCTTCTTAAGGCAGCAAAGAGCGAACGCAGTGCGTCCTGCGTTATGTTCCCATAGATCCGATATCACACGTTAAATGAAGAAGGTTCCGTCGTGACCCGTCAGCGGGCCGGGCTCAGACATTACACAGCGATACAAGAGAAGAGCAATCACCACAATATACACACACAAGTCCCCGGGGGCAGGATGGACAGAAGACATCAACGACAGTCAAACATTCCCAAACACGGAAGTCTGGGAAAAGATCCCACCGGGTCATGTGATCCCACAATGGAGGCCGGCACCCTAAAGCCTCCAGTATATCATCCGTCGTCACCCCGCGCTGGCCCAGTTCCAGTCACCTACCTGTCTCCAGGGGGTAGGCCGCCCCAATCATTAAACTCATCACTACAAATAGTGGTGACAACGGTCGTAAAGTCTTCCCCGTCCTCGGAGCCATCTTCACATTCCTTCCTAAGGGTCCGTGATGTGCGGCGGGGGGACCTCCGGCTTCAGGGGGGTGACAGCTGGGAGTCCGGGGACCTCCGGCTTCAGGGGGGTGACTGCTGGGAGTCCGGGGACCTCCGGCGGGAAGTAAACTCTCCGATCCTCTGGCCTTGTGTCCACAACGACTTCTCCCCGTCGCCCTTTGTCTGCGGTCCAGGCGGCTTTGTGTCTCCTGGTAACCATGACGACCCCGAGGAGTTTGATGGAGCGCCGGGGGGAACAACAATGTACCACCCAGTTCAGGGACGGGGGTCTGTCCTTCCTTCATTACTTCTGCCGTCTACACACACAC